GGGGGGGGGGGGGGGGGGGTGTGTGCTTGTATACAGTACCTTAGTAAAGTTCCAACGCTGAATGAAGTGTCTGGCCACATCCCGGGCAGCTCTGCCATGAACCACTGAGGCAATGTCATGCCAAGGCATTCTGGGAGTTATGTACCTGTCGATGAAGTCTGTTGCAGCACGGAGTGATAGCAACCCCGATGAAGATGGGTGTGTGACAGCGAGAGATAGAGGAGAAAGGATGCAGTAGGACAGAAAAAAAAGCAAAGGGACAGGCAGAAGTAGAGGAGATGGAACAAATAAGTGTTTATTGGTACTCTGTTCCATTCTGCATTTGTTTTCCAAAAGTCTATTTGTTTCCATCAAACTGGTATAACAGGAGTTAATACAAGTATAATACCTTACTATTTATGTATATGTGCGTGTGTGTGTGTGCGTGTGTGCACCAGACCATCAAAAGGTTTCTCCAACTGGATCCAGTCTTTGTAGACAAAGTTGCAGTAGTCTTTTCCATGCCAGAAGCGGGTGTTCCCCTGTAACTCTCCAACACCTGTCTTTAGGCTTCGCACTGAACCACTCCCTACACACACACACACACACACACACACACAAAATGAAAATATTATGGTAAACTGAATGCACATGTATATAATATATTACAACATTTTCTCTTTCATATAAACACACCTGCACTGTCGACGCTGCTGACACTGTCCGCAGGCTGCAAAGCGTGCTTCTGTAGGTGTCTGTACAAACTGAAGCGAGCCCTCCTATTGCGTCCAATCCCCTTCAGCTTGGGCAAGTCCACGGAATCACCGGGCGGCGTCCCTTGTCCATTGCTCTTGGAGATGCCATGGTCAGAGGACACACGCTTACCGGACGGAGTGTTTGTGGAGCCAGCCTGGGAACATGAAAGGTTGACAAGCACAGGTTAAGGGTTTGGTGTGTTTTCTGTGCATGTGTGTATCAATGTTTGTAATTCGGTCCATGTATGAATCAGTTTGGGTTTGGATTCATAGGAACTGATCAACAACAAAACAACTGTCATCACATCCTTGATTAAATACTCTAGTAGTATTGACCCTGAGGTCAATAGTGTAGCATATGTTTGTGTAGTCGTGTATGAGAATGTTTGTGTGCTTATACTGTATGTGTGTCTTTAAAATGAAGAGGTTTAATAGCTGGCACTATGAAAGTGTTCTGTATTCTTGCACATACTCACTCACCACACAGGCAGTGTGAGTTTGACTGAAACCATTTCCTCTCCTCTCCTCCTTCTCCTCATATTTGAACCATTTGTCAACCACATTTATTGCCAATAACTCCAAACTGTGGACAAGACAGTTTAATTACTTGTGTGTGTTTGTCGTATTTGTGTGTCTGACCTGCTCCAGGGCCACAGAGCGTGTCACACTGCCGACATCCGTCAGCCGGTGCTCTCTGTCGTCCCAGCGACCGTATGCCAGGTCGATGCCGCCCACGAAGGCCACTGATTGGTCAATGACAACGATCTTCTCATGATGCGCCCACAGATAGACGGAGGAGGAGACGTGATCTGGATGACGCATCACCTGAACCACAAATGGGAAATTCAGCACATATGGATTCACACATATAGTTCATAGACTCCATAAGTTGTGCAGATTGCAAAAAAAACTTGCAGTCATAGAATGACGTTTCTGCTAAATATTTGAGTGATTGACAGTCTGTTCAAAACTAGTGCATCATATACTGTATATATGCTGGCACTGATACTGCATCGTCTTTCACTACCCATAACCCTTCAGTTACCTTGATGTTGGGGTGCAGGTGCATGAGGGTCCTCTTGCTGTAGCCTGAGTTAATGCCCAGGGCGAGCTCCACCTCCTTATACAACATCACAAAGATCCGCACTCCCTGTTGCTGTAGAGAGGCAGAAAAGGAAAAACAATATTAAGAACATATTTTCACATATTTCTTAGGCATCAATACAGTATGAATAATGTCAGAAGAAGAAACCCTGTAATGATGTAATCCTGTTCATCTTTCTATAATCTTCAAACTACCTGTGCTGCACAGATTTCTGTTTACTTTCAATTCAGGTATATATCTGTTTATATTTGTACACATAAAATCTTTGCCATCCCACGTCACCAGACTGATATGCATGAATTTACATTATAAAGAAATACATCATCTTAAAGGGTTTGAGTTTGGGTTGATGGAATCTCTGGCTTCAGAGGTTGTGTTTAAATAGGCTATAGTAATCAACACTTAGACTGTGGCTTTCATAATGTTGGTTATCTAATGCCTACTTACTGCTTTGCGTTTGAGGGTGCAGTCTAGCCTCCACCTGTTGCCTTCCACTACAGGTCTCTTCAAGAAAATCTCTGGACTCAACCTGGTGATAAAGAAAGACAGAAAAAGATTACCAAGACAGGCGGGAGGAAGGCAGAGGGAGAAACAGTTAATTAGAGAAAGAAAAAAGTAAGAAAATTACACATTTCTTTCAGGAATTCAAGTGTTCACAGAACCCTCCCTAAATGCATCATTATTACTTAAAAAAAACATTCACAAGATTCATGTTTAATTAGAGCTACCAACACGTTGAATGCACCATACACAGACATGACATAATGATAGTTTCATGAGTCACTCACATTAGCATCCTGAGCTTACATGTCTACAATGCCATTGGCTCACATTACACAGGCTGACACCTCATTGGTTAAGACCATAAGCCCAGTGATTACTGCCTTGGAACTCAGGGATTTCAGCCACGTCGCACATTTGGCAACCAGAGACCATAAACTATCATATTTGAAATTACACTGTCAAGAATATTATAACTGTGTCTAGAGAAAAATACCGTGTTTATTTCCCATTAGAAAAAAGAAAACTCCGAAAAGTATGATAGTGATAAAACTGAAATTCAGATAAAATACAAGAAAAAGCCTCTCTACAACGCGAAGCTGTTGAGCTGTTTAATGATATTTAGATTTAATTTGCATCGCAGCAACACTGTTACATGTTACTGTACCCTTAAAGTACAGGTGTGTCATCTGACAAACAAGTTTTTACATGCGATAAATAATTTTTTTAGAACATAAAATTTCTTCATTTTAACAAATTTCCGACCCTAAACTTCATTATACTGTAGAAAACAAAACAGACATGCAAGCACATGTACAAAGTGTACAAACACTTTAGAAGTGTCACATAATCAGTCCTTATGTGAGGAACATAACCCCTGACAAGTAAAAAGACAGTAAACTGAGAAGAGACAGAGAGAAGCAAAGGAGATGTTGCGAAAGTGTGGACAGACACTATGTAGACTGTATCTTCCTGTCAGTGTATTTCTATTCTGGTTGTGTGGATGAGGCTGTAATTAGACCCAGTACTATTCTATTGCTTGTCAGAGAGCCAGGGCTCATGGCTTGTGCATTAATACATGATGTAATGTGCAACAGCATGCATGTGATGGTTGATTTTGATGCAGTAAATACTTGAGCATGTATAACATGATTCTGCAAACGGACATATCTTGTAGCCATGACTACAACCTTAGCCTGCTCTTTTCAGATTCATTGTTTTGGGACATTTTTGCCTTTTTTCAAGAATCAAGAGACAGAGAGAGAGACAGAGCAGCAGAGTTAGAGAGAGACGAGGGAGGATGAGATAACGAGAGACGAGAGAGAGAGAGAGAGAGATGAGAGAGAGAGAGAGAGAGACTGGAAACATGGGGGAAAAGCTTTCAAGCCAGAACTGAACTGCAAATGATGTGATTACATGGTAGGCGTTTTACACCACTAGGGCACTGTGACACAGCAACTTAACCACACTCTTAACCAAAATAATCTGCCAAAGACACACCTTCAGCTTATCCAAAATAGGCCACTGCATTCTCTGCACTTAAACTTGCTACTAAGTAGTATGTTGGTACAGTTCACACGATTCCACCAACCCAAAGGTGGTGGTAATGCTCCACAGCAATGCATGCATGAAAACATGAATGTTTTTTTATTAATATTTTTATAGATCAGTAAATCATTTGCCAATCATGATATTTATGAGACGGAAGCAACATGTTTGCACAACTATGTGTGTAGCCACTGGGTTAAATAAATGCTGCTTCATATTGAGCAATCCTTTCTTTTCTATAGCCCTAGCCCTATTTTTTTTGGACAGACTGTCTGTACTTTTTCCTCTTCCTCTGGCAGCAGAAACAGCCTTACCTTGTTTCCATTTTGCTTTTTAAGTCTATCACTTGTTAATTAGTTTAGTTGTCATCATGGAACATCAAAAAGCATTGAAATTCCACTATTAAACAGAATCAATGCATCATCCCTTCAAAAATAATCAATTTACTGGAAATTCCAGATTAATTCTTTAATACAGAACATGCTGAAGATGCCAAAAATATTTGAAGACATCTATATAATAATTCCCAGAGTTAACAGAGTCAGTTGGTACCAGTTATCCAAAATGTCCAATGTTAGGCTTAGTGAAGACAGGTAGCTCAAAGTGATCCAGACAAAGTTAAACTTGCTTTGTGATACTGGAGTCCACTAACAAGAGTGGACATTGAGGCTGCGCTGGATGTTACAGTGTTAAAGCAGGACAGATATTCTGTAGCCCATCTGTTTATTTCTGGCTACTCACACTTCAAGTCCTGACAGCAGACTCACTTTAACCAAAATATTTGACATTGCACATTTTTACACACAAAAAACACACTGGAACTTACCACCAGTCAGTGATAAAGATTTCCTCTTTAGCCTCCTCCAAAGCATCAGCAACATCCTCCATGTAAGTCTTTCCATTCACATACCTGCAACAAAAAATACTCTGAGTAGCTTGTGAAGACAGGCATTACTGTCCCATGTGCTTGTGTTAACATATACACACTCACATGCACAAAGGTTAACAACATTGTTTCATATTTTACTGTTCCGTAAAGGGATAACTACTTCTGCCTTTTTTTAAGTGGTTTTGTCACAGCTTGCCCCAAAAACTGCAAGAAAACCACAATTAGGTCAACAGCAGAATGAAAAAAAAGTCTGTTCACTTCTCCAACTTGTTTAACCTCACAAGCTTTAAGCTACACCCATGGCTGTGTCATCATGGCACAACTACTCTTTACTTTTCCATTAGCTCACAGGGCCACAGCACGTTTGCCTCTCAGGCTCAGTACAAAGACAACGTAATGACATTATCACACAGATGATTCAATATCACATTATCTGCCAGATGAGGGGGAGAGAATGTAAAAAAGAGATGAAAGATGGCAAAGAGAGAGCTGACTGCTCATTCCTCTCATACATTTCCATAGTTACCAGTGAAAGGCTTACAGAGGAAGGCAGAGAGAAAATAAGATATGCAGAACATTTGTGTATTTTGAGTTGTATTTATTTGTGCAGCTTTCCTGTAGAGAACATGATTAAATCTACTAAACATTTTTCTTACAAAAAACTACACAGCTCTGTTACAAAGAAACAAATATTAGTTTGAAACTAATGCAAAACCTGTATTTTGTTTTGCTGTGTGTGCCTCCTAGTGTTTTTATCTGCATTCATTTTTTCCACTGACACACCAACATTAGTAACAGCTCCACCAGTTGTGCTCTCTCCCAGTGTAGTTACCATTTGGAAGGGATGTCTTCCTGTTCCTGTGCAAATGAGCCAAAGCGGTGAGCTCGGAGGAAAGCCTTCCCATGACTCCTCACAAAGCTCTCAATACTCTGACCCCACCAGCGCGCGTGTCTGTAGCTGCTGCATTTGAACACCAGGGTCCTACCAGGAGGATGTACACAGATACAAACACAGACACAGTGAAATAAATATGCGTGCCTGTGCTCACACATACAGATACATGTTGTCATTTTGAAGGGCATTGGTGCCAAAAACATTAGGCATTTTATGTTCCTGTTAGCTTAACAGCTGGGCAATTATTCCTAAAATAAAATAAAAGCTGGATTAAGAGTGTTGGAATGAAAAGGAGCTAAAGAAAACAATCCAGCCTGTAATACCGTACTGTACCGTACAGCTTTAAGCAATGAAGCTGTGAGTTGTGGGCCCACTTGGGATCTTTTATTCATTTTCTGGGACACCAGAAAGATTTTCAGTACAATTTGGACCGCAAAAAAGCTTTTAGCATCTAAAATGTATAATAGTAAACATATGGTTTCAGCATAGTAGAATGAGCAAACCTGAATGAAATCTAATATATTCTTAGCAAGGGAGAGAGTTTTTCTCCATGCCTATCACTGCTATAATGTTTTCCACCTACACATAAAACCCACAAATGGATGCAACAGGCACCTGTTGCCTGGGGCTTTTAAGAAGTCTCTTGATTTCTCTTACTGTAGAAAATCACTGGGTAAGAACTGAATGAGGCAGGCTGAAAACTGTACACCACAATATAACCCTTTGGAATTTTCAACACCATAAACTGATTCTATCAGCAGTGTAACAGTGTAACACTCTACAGGTGGATTTTCTTTTTAAATGGTGCTGAAATAACATTAGCCTCACAATCTATTGTAAGCCTTTACTCAAAATAGATGTGACCTGCTAAAAAGTTTAAATGTTCAGCCGTACAAGCGCGCACACAGAAATATCACCTGGAGAGGCTATCAATCCGGACTCCGTGTTTGGTCTCTGTGTCTTTGGAGTCCATCTTGATGCTGAACTCTTTATCCAACAGCAGGACAAAAGAGATGGCCCCTGTGTCTGGCTTCATGTACAGCAGGCATGAGTCTTTCACCACCAGCCAGCTACACAACACACACGCACAC